TATATATATATATATATATATATATATATATATATTGCTGGGTGATGGCCATGGCAAATAAAATAATTCAAGAAAAACGATTGAATAACTTACCGATTGCATCGCCAATCTAAATGGAGTGGCCAATGAGGTTGGTGGAATGATTGGAATACAGTTCTCATGCGCAGAAGCGCAATGAGTACCAAGATTGCTGGATGTAAAGAAAGCTTCAGCACACTCGGGACATTCGTAAGGCGGGACACCAAGATGTTCCCTTACAACATGAGATCGCATAGCTGCAGGGTCCTCAGAGGCCACACGACAAGCAGAACATGAATAGAAGGGGATAGCTTGCCTACCCTTTAACGTCCTATTGAGAACCGCCGGGGTAGAAGAAGTAGGGATATCAAGTTCAGGTAATCTAATCACAGAGTTACGTTGATGTCGAGAAGTGCTTGGTGCCTCTGAAGATGGCAACGTGGAAATCTCTGAAAGCGGTCTGATCACAGTGCCTTTCCACTTCATTTTGGCGAGCTGGAGAAGGTTATCATCACTAAGTAGAGAGTTATCCTCACGACTCAAACGTGAGCAATGCATCGCGGCAGCTTTATATCGCTCGGGAACTTTAGCATGCACGCCCAGAATGTGTTTCCTGATATCTCCCATACCGTGAGGTGAAATGGATGAGCAGCCGGAGCAGCAGAAATAGCGTCGTTTGTTTCGACGTTGAACAAAAACCTTATATTTTGTGTAAATTTGCATCTTCTTTTTTAGTACCAAAAAGTAGTTCTCGGGGCAATAGTCATGAACAAGGCTTTCAAGAGCAGTCCTTGAATAGGGCAAATCAATTATGCGTTCAACACTTCCAGGATCTTGTTCATTAAGACAAGAGAGTACCCGAGACATATCAATTGACTCTCCCGAGTCTTCATCATCTAGACCACCATTCGAGACCGTCGACGAGTCATGCAATACAGTGGGTAAAGAGAACCGATTGTTAACCGCAGTCTTTTCCTCTTCTGAATTCTCAGCTGATATATCGGCAAGGGGACGCAAGGGCGGAAGCGATCCTAACCTTGAGGTTGAACTCCTTGAGGATGCAGTACGAGGAGTTTGATGAGAAGACAGTTTGTCTGAAGAGGCATCTGTAGTATTTAGTTTAATGGGTCTATCCATAGCCAAACGGAAGAGCATTTCATCATTAAAGAGCTCAAATCCATTCTCCCGACAAATTCTCGAGGCCTGACAACAAATCGTTATGAACTCATGGGAGATTTTCGCGTGAACACCCATGACATGACGCCGACTATCAGCTAGTGTTGCAGGTCGCATCTTAGCATCTGGTTGGCGTGAAGTCACAAAGAGTCGCTTACAGGAGCACCGGAAAGCCAGTGTCTTTTCTCCTGCACAGATACGTTTCATTGTCCTCAAGCTGTACACCTCCATCTTCTCATTTATTTCCAAGATCTGTTTAGGCGTTGCACCAGCATTTTCCAGGAGCTTGCGAAGAACATTTTTGGAGTAGGGTAGAGGTAGATCAACAATCCTATCCGCTCCGGCCAGTGCAGGATTTTCCTTTATCAGTTCTGCGAGGTCGATCGTTAACGAACCATCAATGAACTCATTCGATGTGGAAGGATTTATAAATATTGAACTCTGAGTTAAAGGGGTGCTACTAGCCACTGCTTCTCCAGGTGGAATGGGACCTCGGATTCGTACTTTCACGGGGGTTTTCGAACCTGGAATCATTGTAGTGAATCTTGAGATACCATTTTCATCAGGTTCACGGCTCTCGGGAGAAGGAGTGGAGTGATTCAGTCTAACATCCGCTAAGCTACCCGCCTCACTCTCATCATTTTCAGGATTGACGTTGTTGGTATTGTTCTCATGTTTTTTAGAACGAGAGTCATGAGCCATTCTTATCAATCTATCATCTGAAAGGAGACCAAAGTCCGAATTATCTAGACGTGAAGCCTGCAAACAGTGACGGAAATGTTTTGTGGAAATACCACAATGCGAGCCCATAATATGCTTTCGCACATCAGCTAGAGCATGAGGGGATAAGTATTTACACTGACAGCATTTATGACGCCTGACACCATCCTTGGTCTCAGTGATGGCTTTCATTGTGGAATAGATCTTCATTTTTTCCATGATAGAAACACGCTGTTCTGGTGTAACCTCGTCATCCTGTACAAGTAAACGTTCGAGAACTGTGATGGAATAGGGAAGAGGGATGTGGACTACACCGGGTTCAATAGTTGTTGAACGCCATTGACGCATATTTGCTTGCCTTTCCTGTTCTTCTGATGAAAGTGACGGTGACAACGACGAGGACGTTGCTGCTGATTCGACTTTCGACGAACGAAGATATTTAGTGAGATCTTTAATGTGATCTCTGGGGGCGTCAAGATGCATGGCTAAAAGATGGCGTTTAAAATCCGGGAGACCATAGTTGAAGGTACGATTGCAAACTGGGCATTGGGGAACTTTGCGATTTCTCTCCTTACCAATAATTCTAATAACGTACGAGCAAGATTTATGCAGCAGCTCAACAAGTGATTCAAGCGTATCACTAGAGAATCGGTTGTTATTTTCATTACGGAATAACTCTTCGTCAAAGGAGAAGGAAATTTTCTCATCTTCTCTAAAAGCACCGACAGAGTTTGATGGGGAGGCGGGTGTACAAGGATCTTCGCCAATTCCGATGGAATGATTCGAGCCTCTATCGACCTGGCCATTATTTGGAATGAGACTCTTCAAATTATCAATGATGCATTCTATACCACTGCTGTTGTTATTATTAGAAAGAGTGTTAGGATTGGTAAACGCCGACATCATAATCGAAAAGAGTTCGCTGTTTGGATTAAGCAGGGAGTTAGCATCTGGGAGAGGTAAATTGGTAATGTTTGAGGTGGAGGGCTTGACGCTTGACAAAACAGATGTTGAAGTAGGGAATAGAGGTGAGTTAACGTTCATAGGAATGGTCGATGACGGGGTGAGCAAGGAGGCCATTGTTGAGAGCAGAATAGGGTCAGGTAAAACCAAACTTTGCAAGGAAACCTTCTTCACATCCTTAAGATTCACTTCAACTTCATAACACATGTCCATAATCATAGACTAAAAGACAGAGTGAATATTAAATAACACTTTCAGAAGAACTAGCTTCTGTAATAAAATTAATTCTGAATATATTAAAGCTCTTAAACGAAAGTTAACCAACTAATCATAAAGATTTCATAACATGATTTGCATGGTCAAGATGGAAACCGAAAGGCTTCAAAGTCATGAGTTTTTCCAGTGTATTGCTGGAAGAAAAATAGGAACAAAAAGAGCGAACGAAGAGTCAAAAATGGCAAGATGGAACTAATGACTAAAAGACATCAGCTCTCTCGCGAAAGTTTAGAGTATCGAACGATATCTAACAAGGAAACTAGATGAAAAAAGTGAAAATAGTGCTAAACAACCACACTTAAAAATTGCGTCATGACCTTATACTCATAGCCATAGTCAACTAAGCATGCAACTTAACTTAATGATAGGTTTGGGATAATAAACCATTCACTACGACTAAGGTGCGTGGTTATTAACCAGGAGGCGCGAATTCAACTCACACTTTCTGTACTCAACAATTTTGCTAGTAGCCAACCATGCTAGTTAATTGTGATGAATAAGTGAGGTAACAGAATGAGTCCTCTCCAAAAGAACTGTTCCAAAATATCTCCCTTCAAGCAAAATTAACTATTGGTAAAACTATCATTAATGAACTTGGGATGTAAATCTGACACAATGGTGCATAATAATTAGACAAGCGGATCCACAGTTATCATAGTTTAAGATATGGGAACAAATGTTTGGCACCAGCTCATATTAAAGAACATATCTTCACTTTCGTAAATTTCATATCCCATTAGAAGCCTGCAATTTTAAGACTTTCGAAAAGCCTTCAACAAATGACATTGAATTCCCTAACATCAATTTAGAGGATGGTAAAGTGATAAGTCTAGAAGGCTAAGAGATAGGAGACGACAACCATGAAGAGAAGGAAGGTGAATAACGCAACTACGCGAGACTGTCAGATGCAGATGTGGTGGAAGAACAAAGGGGTGCGTCCGTATGGATGCGTGTAGTGCGGACGTGCAAGTCCACATTCAAGAAAGAAGCAGTAGTAACAGTAGCCAATGGAGTCAGCGAGAACGCCTCCAATTACTACGCGCGTATGTTCTCGATCAATGCTACTGCTTCTTCGCATACTCCTCATCCTTCTAGAGCAACACTGCCTTCTTCTTTCCTTCTTAATCGCTTTCTCTCACTCTCTTAATGAAATTTAGCCATCATTAGATATGTGATGAAGGAAATCGAGTGGATGAAAGACAAGGTAGAGGTGGGAAATTTAGTTGTAGCTACCTAGACCTTCCCCAAGAAAAAGAGAAGAGAGGTAGTTGGCGCGCTTAGCGTCCATAGCGTCGATCAATGGGTACGCCTGCTGCTAGTTGTATACACACCTACACACGCCCTATGGCTCTTGCCTTGCCTACTTTTCTACCAACACCAGCAGTTGTCGCAGTAGTCCATGTGGCCTTCAGTGGAATCTCGCTCTAGCATATATACATACACACACCCTTGGCTTAGGCAGACTAGCAGGCGAAGCTAAGTGAACGAAGTAGGCTGGAAGTAGCTAAACTATCAGATCACGTTTAAAAAAACCCACAATATATGACTATTCAAGACCCGAAACTAGGAAGTTCCAGAACAGGAGACTCTCAGTCACTACTGCAGAATGCCATCGGCAATTACAGGTAAATGCCGAGGCATTTGTCTGAGTTCGAGCAGGATAATTAGTGAGCATTCACGAAATGGCCAAATTGAAAGCTCAGAATGTTACTTTTATTCAAAAACCGGCTGAAATTAAGCGCTAACTGACAAAGGCATAAGATCCAAGGAGGAGGAAAGTCAATCAAACGGAGTGCCTTAAATACCAGAAAACAAGAGCTAACAAAGACAATGCATTAAACTTAGAATGGGTTAGAAATAGTTCAATAATTAAACCAGAACATAGGAGTGAATTGGCATTTATAATCCATGAAATGCCAAGAAACTGGGCCCTTTGACCCTAATTAAAACTATCAAGAAATTTTCAGGCATATTCCATTTGGAAGTTGGAAGAGTGTTAGTTGATACAAACCCTTCAATCATAAGAACGGAGTGTGCGAGTCAATCAATCATTGAACACACGACCAGGAAATCTTATCAAATACCTCTGGGTTAGAAATAGATCCCTACTTCAATTTGTAAATATCCTGGCTTCTCTTGACTTAGCTAAACACAGAAACAAAATAGAGATCTTTAAAATAATACAGCAAAACAAATGGACCAGATGCAGGGGAACAATAGTGGGAAAGATATTTTAAATTTAGGGTAAGATATGACATTTTGATCGTTCCATTTCCACTTTAGCAGAGATAGACCAGATCAAGTCAGATGAAAAATATACTATCCCATAACAATATAATTTTACATGTACAATTCAATTTTTCCCTTCTTTGAGATGGTTTACAATTAGACATTTTAGTTGTCAAACACATACTTCAAAGATAAAGACCGAAAGTCAATCAATAAATGGTTACTGAAACTAATATTCCAGGGCCAAAGAGCAATAAAAATTTGTCGAAAACCTGTCCAGTGACCTCTAAAAATGGGGCCCACTAGGTCAATTGCTGTTCTCGTTAAAAGGTCAACTCATATTCCAAAACTATACTAGGCAGGTCCATTAAGTAAAGAAGGACCCCGTTATCGTATATAAGAACACTAAATCGATCATAAGAGCATACGCAGACGGTCAAGTCAGCCTTACCGATGGCGGAAATTGATACAGAAACACATGACCTAGTCAAAGCTCAGATTAATAAATAGGTAACGAAACAACAACTCTAGTTTGCTAACAGTTTGACCTAGATCAATGCAAGATATCTCGCCAACTGTTCAGAATAGAACTTGAGTACCAAGTATGCTTTTTAAAAAGATGGCTTAACCGGAAGAAAATTGTCATCAGAAACTAGAAAGCAGAAGAGAAAATCGATAAAAAGGTAGAAATGAAGGATCAAATTCCAAAATTTAAAGATCAAATTTGGAACGGAGTGTTAACTCAATGTAAGAATTATAAAAAATTCAAGGATTACCGAAGACCATAAATCTAAGAACAAATAGACACCACTTCGGATCGTCCTTTGTCCAGACAATTTCACAAGTCCTTGACTAGCAGCAAATAGATAGATTACTGCTAAGATACCATTCCAAGCAATAGTGACAGACCACATGCCATATATCAACATCTAGATCAAATTATGGAATTACCACCAGTAGATAGAAACCTTCCAATCAAAGATGATTCAATGAAATCAGGTCAAGAAATGAGTCTTCTACATTGCTCACATTCTAACGATTTCTACTGATAATACCATTCAGCAAAAGCCGCAAACACCCTCAGTCCTCATAACCACTCGCAATGACGGCGGTGATTCAAGGCGGCCACCTGAGGACACGTCGAGAGAGAGAGAGCTAACATGAGTCACCGCCTGCGTCGTGTTGTGCGATTTTGGACTTAGCGAACACACGCAGCTGTGCGTTGCGAGGCTAGCTTGAACATTCCAAACAACTACCTCCGATAGTAGATGATATTGATAGATATCTTCGAATTGCGGACTACTGTCAGAGCACTTGTAGTTTAAAATCCAATGGTTCTCACTGCATCCAATATCAAAGACTAGCAAACACCTCTGCAATTATAGTATTGGTTAACGGAAAACATCCAGAAGTGAACAATAATAAAAAAGTTGACAAAATTAAGATTACTATGATTTGTTTAGCACTGTAAATACAGACCCAAGTCCAGATGCATTCATCGCAGTGTGACTTCAGTTTAGAAGACAGTAGTTTAAGCAACATTAATTGAGCGAAGTGATAACCTTAGAGTTCACCATAGAATCACACACGTAGAGTAAATATGAAATTCTTCTGATTCTCGTAGCATAAACAAAGTTGACGATGAGGACAGCCCATCAAGATATGCTAGAAGAAGCTAGTCGGAGACTGACAGTAGATGAGAATTTAAATAAATATGAGGAAAATAAATCACCTTTCAACAATAGATCCAGAGAAAGACGAATTGAAATTGTATACAGTTTAACTTAAAAAAATAGCTGGAACTTTCTAGACCTACACTAATAATAAAAATGACATCGATAGACTCGTAGTGGCCTACCTCGTTGGCGATTTCCTTGAGTTCTTAAATCAGTCATACCAATTGCCTAAACCTAGAAGTGAGCTTTACTTTATTCTCTACGAAGCAAACACTTCCATTTTACTTTCTTGACGCCATTGTCTATACACATGCTTTGTCCATTTCATGTCTTGGTTGTAGTAGAGAGAGAAAAAGAAATTCTAGAAGGCCAAGTTACCTCTAACCGATAACTCAGTAAGCTGAAAATCTATAAACTTCTAGCGATGATTAAATCCAGCTGATACTTCCTTGTGACATTCTAATATACTAGGTATTCAAATATCGTCTAGTGAGATATTCTAGGAGCTTGGAAGAGCAATAGCTGGCTACTATTTAACAGACTTAATATTGGACGCAAACTGAATGCCAGCGAACATCTAAGGACACGTTGACAGAGCGAAGAGACAAGTAAGCACACAGAGTAGAACGCAAACACATTCATACAAAATAGCTGCGATATGTCCAGAGGCCACTTGCTCTCCAACCCCCCTCACACCCCATCATTAGAAGGTCGTCAAGTGCCTGCAACTGCTGTTAGGATGAACACGACCAGAGAGCGCGCCACAGCAGCAGCATCGATTACCGTAGGCCAGGCAATTGCAGCGGTGGTGGTTTTCGTCGTCGCCAATCAATGTGCGCATCACTTCGCATCGCGCTAGTTCAACCACCAAGCAGTGTTCGGCGCACACGCACACCATCACCGCGCAAACTGCCAGTTGTTTCGCCTCCTACTACTACCAGCAGATGCATGAACGAACGAACTGTCAGAGAAGAAAACTATTGGACAGGAATGGGCGGAGATGAACATGCCCCGCTGTTTTGTTAAAGCATTCTCACAACCGACTAACTAAGCGACCAGTCAGATCAAGCTTCACACTGAAGCATTCTATGAGTTATGTTACTAGTTAGCTGAGGAAGCCCTGTTGAAGAGAAGCTATTTCAAAAACTTATACTAGGACAGATGAGCTCACCACTTACGGGAAAGGTTACAATTCAGACATTAAAAAGCATTGTAGACTCCTATTAACTACCACAGGCACTAATAAAACCTTATGAAAGAATAAAAGGGGCTAAAATTGGAAGTTCTAAATAAATACCAAATAGACATTTAGACCGGTAATTTAGTAGCATCAACAGAAGACTGATTCTATTAGGTAGATATTTGAGGACACGACGAGAGGGAAATGGGTTATTCCCTTTGCGTACGCACACACACCCCCACATTGGAAGACGTCCTGGACTTTGCGAACACATTCGAACACGAGGGGGAATTGAGATATTCAACAAAATTTCCCATTAGATAGTCGAAGGAAGATTCTTACCTATAAGTTCTTAATGGAAGGGAGTCTGAACTACCTCCTATTAATTTGTATGTGTTTTCAATGGGGTATTTGGTTATTTTGCCCACTTTCTTATGGGCTTAGATAAATGACTTGTTAAGCCAGAAATACTTTGGATCTCTAAGAACAGGAGGTGGAAACCATTTCAAGCTAAGACCAAATTAACGACGTTCTTACAATAATGGTGGCTGGTCGATAATGTATATGAGGAATGAAGCTCTACTTCAACACGACGGAGTACAATGAAATGAATCTTGCTAAAGAGCATTACAAAAAATTATAACTTCAAAAATGGGGATAGTAATATTACCAGTACCAGCAATGAGGAAATGCTAGAAATCTGCTGGCTAGTTAATCGAGTTCAAAGTATTTTAGACTCTAAATAATTAAGAGGAAATAAACTACATCCAGGGTCTCAGAATGGTCTACGATCGAAAAAGATCTAGTCGAGACTCTGTATGCTGTCATAGTGCGCTAGTTTACATAATATTTCAATTCATTGAAAGACCAATTTTGTAGAATTCGCATTAAGCAGAAACTCGTGTCCAATGAAGTTGTTGCAACGACAGATCATTTTCATGTTTTAGAAAATTATTCCTAACTTATATTAAACTGCAATTGATTTGGTCAAGATTTGTACTTATTTCACTTCGGACTAAATGCCACTTGTCCATTTCTTTATATTAATCAACACCTTAGTCACAATTCAAGCTAAAGAAAATCTTAAACCTGATCAACAGAAAGAAGTTTGTAAACAAGCATTATGAAAAGAAGACCACTGCAAAGTCATAGCAAGCACGTTAGCCCAAAATAGAAAACTAACCTCAGAATTATGTTTTATCTGAATATGCTCCACTATAAGATCCCGTTCAGTGGACACTATTGAGCAACCATTACACCAGTAAATGGTGTAGGTAAAAGTGCCGGTGTCGCAAGAATTGAGATGACTTTCAAAACGTTTCCATATTCTGGTGGAGAAGTTACACTTAGAACAGCGAAGGCAAAGGGCCTTGCATTTCGATGGATCGTCCAACCTCGGGATGACCGATGGAGACGTCGTTGGTGATAGACGTACAGTAGCCTCTTTTTTTTCTTCAGCGGCAATGAACGAGCGTAGATGGGATGGAAATTTTCCATTGTATTTACATATGTACTAAAGGAAAAAGATGTGAACACAACGATTGAAAGCGACATGAAATAAGACCACAATTGAAATATGATTTGAGCGATTTCCAAAATATATTAGAGGGCCTCGTGGAAAAATGTGCCTAAATGCATGCACTACAGTCGAGATCATGAACTTAAATTACAACTAACATCAAATGCTTCTTAGGGTTTAAATGAAACAAGAGATTACAAAAAATTAATTTTATTGAAGGCTACAACCACATGGATTCATTATGGAAAGCGTTCATAATTATTAGCTTCAGAGGAAGGAGGACTTGCTGACTAGAAATAACTAGTATCACTGGTCATCGACGCCATTGGACATGGCCCGATCCTACGGCCTCATGACCTGGAAGAAATGAAAGCTAACCCCGCTATACTACCGACACACAAGGTCATGAATAAGCGATTTAGGCGACTTTGAAAATGACGATTTAAGTTCACAAATGGGTATGAATAGACTATTTCCATTCCAACAAATTTAACCATAGATACACATATTTATTAAATAACACTTTTATGAGCAAATGAATAATTCTATCTAGATAGCGGCATGCTGATAACTATGTGTAGGTCAGAGATACTAAGACTGAAGACGCGTCCATTCATTGAAATTACCAACGAATACAGAACCATTATCATAAAACTAAAAGCCAAACTGTTTGCCTAGTTCCCACATTGTTGTGGAGAAAAAAGTATTGACAGTAGCTTCAGTGCAATAGCAGCAGTAGTAAATCAGTATATGCTCTTATGGAAACCACAGAGCGAAAATGACACACTGTGGGAATTCTCTGCTGAAGCATACCCCACCTCAAACACCACTTGATGAGCACAAACATAAGCAAGAAGGCAGAGACCAAAGGTTTCAATATGCGTAAGGTGTCTTCGTATCGTGCCTCGTGCATACACGCAGAGTGAGTGTGTACATGCAAAGGTCCTGAATTATGCAGTGTGTCGACCGCTCGCTGTATGCAAGAGAGTGTGTATCCATCTTCATACAACCACAACTCCGCAACACACACACACGGTGTATTTATGCGTGTGCACTCAGTACTCCGGTGTGTTTATTCATGCTAATCATCACAGCCGCCATCCACATCCCACTTCATCCAGTAACTAACTCCTCTTAAAGCAGCAATCATTAACCCGACGAGTGCTCAGAAGACTATCAAGTAATAAGTGCAATTTCGGTGTGCGTGAGATAGTAGGGAAGTGATAAGATTTCAGTCAGGCACTTAGAGATGACTAGTAATCCAGTGCAAGGGAAAGAAAATCAATAAGCAAGACGCATACTTACCTCAATGGTTTCTCGTATGTATGTGGAAGGTGAAGAGTGTACTCGAATAGCGTGATCAATGATAGCCATTTTGGATAGGGATTTAATCGTACAATAGGACATTGGACAGTGGAAGAGCCGAATAGTTTTGGAGGTGATATGAGAATTAAGAGCGTTTAAAGAGTTTACTTGTTTTGAGCAGTGGCAGCATCGGTATTTTCCTTGCTCCCGTGGATGATTGAAATGTTGGTGTACCCTGAGAGCGAATATATCGTTGGTTTGGAAATTACACCCAGGCGAAGGGCAGCAATTTTCAAATGAGCGACAAAATTTTTGTAATCTGGAGTAAGTGTTATGAAAATGTGACGCAATATGAGAAGTTAGACAAAGCCGAGGAAAGTCGCAGCCGCAGTATGGACAGGAGATAAACTCGGAGTCGTGATGGTGTGTATTGATGTGAGAAATGAATTCCCCATGAACCCAGGTTCCTTTAAATTGAGAACAACTAGTACAAACAAAAGCACCAGCAGATGACTCGAGACGGCGTATACTTGCGGCCAAACAAGTGGCAGCAGTCCCTGAAAAATTTGTATCCGTTGTAGTCATTAAAGCATTCGATGAGAATAGAACTACAAATGAAAACAAAAGAAAGAATCAAATTAGAAAGAAAATTTGTAATAAAAGCACATTTTTAACAGAAACCCATGGTAAAATGAGTTCATAGGCCGAACATATGAAAAAAATTAATCAAATAACAAGAAAAATATGAAATATAAGGGCATAAAACAAAATATGTACTAAACTACATTAAAAATTCAAAGACTAATCAACTCTTACACAATGAAATTCACAGCGATGCTCGCAACTGCAACGCACAGTAGCTACAACTAGCGTATGAGTGACTGCGAAATTATCGTAAGACTTCAAACTAAGCGCAAAAATAATGCTTCAATTTTTACACAAATAGTTAAAGGTTAAATATCTTAAAATATTTTAATTTCAAAAAGTTATAAAATTATTATAAATTTGTAAATTTGTTTAAGTTTTTAAGACGCCGACGCATAATTCAAAATGGAATCATTATATTTGTTGAGTCAATGTTACAGCAGTCATATATCTATATACTAAAATGAACACGGAATCAATATCTATGGTATTTCTTGTTTTACGTTTTATCCTTTTAGTTCTCAAGCGTTTTTTCGCAGATCCCAGACATGAATGCTGGAACACTAGATGACATATTACAGCATATAATTGAACAAGAACTGAATGAAGAAACTGTTGAAAAAATGAAGACCATCCTCTTAACTTTTCATTTATATTCAAGCGTTTACTGCTTTTTAACCGCTATTGATACCAAGTAACTGGAACTTTACTCATACATTATTTGCAGGTTTTGGCAGTTATGCTTTGATTCAAATCTTTGGCCACAAGATAAATTTAATCCATTGAAGTAAGAGTGTTACATAATTTCTTTATAATTGAATCCTATCTATCTAAGGTCGCTAGCCAAAATTCTAGATCACTGGCTGAGTAATCCTTTCGCTGAGTCTTTTTACAATCCTCCTGAGTTTCTTGATCTCAAAAGACTTCTTTACCTTGTTTCACAGTGGCTTCGTGTTTTCGCCAACAATTTCCAGCCCCCACGGCACCAAACCTCTAAAAATAAAGAATCAGCTCGATGTCAGCTTATTTGTAAGGCTAGAGACTCTCTGCATTCCATGACGCAGTCAAATCAACTCTGCCTCGCTCAAATTATTGAAGAAATTTGTGCTAAGATTACCACAATCTCCGATCATTTTCATGTTAAAGCTGGACTTTTCAGGGAGACCACTTGTGACAGTAATGCTGACTTACTAGATAGCAACTCAGATCTGAGTAGTCCAATTCCAGCTGTGAATGGAGTTTTGAATAAACTTAGCCCTCGTCACATTGCCGAACAATTGACTCTTTATGACGCAGAGTTATTCACCCAAGTCATACCCTCCGAATGCCTAAATCACGTTCGCCACCTACCTGCAAAGTCGGTAGATGCCACTATCAAGCAGTTTAATCGCATTTATGCCCTAGTTCAGACAACAATTATTGAAGCGGAGCATGAGATGCCCACTCCCCATTCGTCAAATGAAATCCTCAATGCTTCCTTAGCGTCTATCACACTCTCAATGGTACATATGCCTCTTCAAGCCAATCAATACCAACACCCGCATTTTGAGAGGACAGAACATCGCAGTGCAGTTGCCCGTTCTACAATCAGTCTTTCTTCAATTCATGATTTGGATGCTTTATCTTGCGAGGATGCTTTCCTTCGAGCTGAGATCCTTGCAAAATGGATAGCTGTTGCATCAGTGAGTTTATCTGTTTTTTTTGTTTCAAGATACAACTACTATATTCTTTAATTAAGAAAATGATATATGATATAATTACTCCGACAATCGGATGGACAGCTATAGTATGAAGTGACTGGTAGTGAGATCTGGTTCATGAAATAAGGGATGATTGCTTATTCTTGGGGGTGGGGTGGGGGGGGGGGGCTAATTGATGCTGCTTCTTTGAGGGCGAATTTCTTATTTTCTGACTGTCATCCATCCTTATATAGCACGTTTATATTTCCGATACCGTTTTTGCTAGTGCTTTTTTGGTTTGAGTATATTTTAGCTAAATGAGTCACACTTGTGGGTTTAAAGAATTTGCCTTTTCTCCATTATTCTAATCACGAGAATTAACATTGCATGCTCCACGGAATTTCTTCAAATAACTATAATTATAGTTCAATCAAAATGTGTGTGTGTCGGTATAAAATCAATGACTGATTTATTAACCGGAAACAGTTGGCTTAGTGTTTCTGGTTTATAGCGCTCTTGCATTTCCTTTCTTCTCTCCCCAATTTGTTAGAATTAAAAAAATGGTATACTCTTTATTCAAACTGTGGTAGTTTCTAGAATTGGGGTTAGTTCGAATTTTTACATTTAGCTTATGAAAAGTTTCGATCAGATTCTTTTGAGTATCGCCTTTGAGTAATTCTGATCACTGAAAGTGTAAATCCAAATACTAATCTTGGTTAATGAATGTTATCCCTTTTTGAAGCAATTCATACGTATTACGTATTCATAAAATACGTAATAATTGTTTTGTTTTTTTTTTATCTCCATTTCAATGAAATGTTTCACATTTAGTTCACTTACCTCGTTGAGTTGCTATGTTGGTTGATGTGATGAACTATAACAAATCTGTCAATTACTCCAATCACACTTGTCTCTCAGCTGTTACGTAGTGGCCTCAGTACTCTTAATCACAAGATCATACATTATATTGGCTATAAATTTAATTCATAATCCTTAAAGAAATCGATCAAATGTGCTAAATTTCCACCATCAAGTATATGAAAAAAAACAACTTGTCCACTTAGTGCTCGTATAAAGGATACTTGTTGGTGTCTAAGAGATGCACCATCATTCTCATAAGTTAGTAGTTCAGACTTAGTGAATGGTCAAAGTTGGACATTTCAATCTTGAGAATGTTCGCTTTCATTGCGTAAACAATGTCAATTTTTGATTTTTCATCATTGTTTTTGTTTTTTTGAGTTTAGGTTAAGCTTTTACAGTAAGCAATTCTTTGTACTATTAGGGGAATGGTAATTATCTTTCTAGCTTTTACTTCCAAAAGCCATAGCGTTTCCTTGAGCTCAAGTTTTTCCTAACTTTAGGTAAGCGCCTCCCTAAGAGTTCTGTTAGCAATAAAATTTTAACTGACCTCCCATGTTTGAAATCCTTTGATCCTAAATCTGTCAACGCTAGCCTTATAAATGATCCTAATTGGTAGCAAAACTGCAGAAGGTTGAACAGCCCTATCTTTGCATTATCACCAGCTGCCAAACACTTTCTGAACAAGTAAAATATGTGGAAATGAAACGTCCTGTGTTATTATTTAGGAACTCAGAGATCTACGAAGCTTTTCCGCATTCACATCTGTTATGACGGCTTTACAGGGTTGCGCAATTAGCGGTCTATACGCTACTTGGAGTATTGTTGAAAAGTAAGTTCTTCAAATTATCCTTTCCCTCTTCCCCCCCCCCCCAAATACAATCAAATCAAGTTCTGCTTGATGGTATCCTGTTACACATTATTCGGCTTCAATGATTAATGCAATTATTATGATTTGAAAACTTTTTATCACTCTCTCTCCTTTTAAACAGTGACTAACAATATCATTAAGAGCCTGAATTATCACTTGAATCAAGTTCCTTAGCAATCTTGAGAATCCATAATTCGCGTGAGATTTCATAGCTTTGCTTTGTCTCGCAAATCTAGGACCGAAAAAAATGAAATTTATAGTGCAGGGGTTATGACAAGTTATTGGAATTTTGCGGTAATCATACCCCCCCCCCTCACCCCCACCCCCTTATAATTGGTCATAATCATGGACGTATCTTCTCACGGCATAATAGTATGGCTTTTAAACGTCAGGGTAAACACGAAAACAAATCGCCTAAGATATGACGCTACAATTGGCACAAAGGTTTAAGTTGTTTAGCTATTGTTAATAAACTGATGGCGTTTGGCAGTTGATTACCCTAGTTTTTCTCTTTATAGGCAATATCCTGAAAAGAATGAGATGTTTCATGAACTCTCAGAACTTTTAAAACTGGATGATAATAGGAAATACGCTCGAGAGCTTTTGGATCATGTAAGCTCCTGCTCATTTTTCCTTACCTTACTACCCAACTAAGAATAGCTTTATTTGGGTCGCTCACCTTGGCAACCCCTGTGGTTCCCAAGGTAACCGTTTTCCTATTGTTATTTCTGTCGTTAGTGCGTAGAATGGGGCCTGTCATTTTGTATGACTTATTATGGACTATAAAATTGGAACAGTCGATGTGATTGAGTAAAAGGTATACCTTTTGAATAAAATTAATTCAGCTCTTTTTGCTTTCTCTAGATGTATTCCAGTTATGAATTAGCTCGACAACAAGAGATGAAGCATAATGGATTGTTCTCAGCAATATTTCGACGAAAATTGGCCTCAGATAGTTCAATTGTAAGTCGGGAGAAAGTACCCCACCATAATATGTAACTCCATAGTTTTCATTTTCCTAACTGGGATAGTAAAAGTACACCCCTTTGTTGAACACCTTTGTCGCCAAGTCACAATATTCTGACTTATAACTCAGAGCTATAAAAATTTCAAATTACAAGTTTTGAGTCCCTGTTTTTTTTAGTTCACTGTTTTTTTTCTTGAAATGCGGTTGAAATTTCTCATTTCGCTCAATATTAGCTATAGTTTGCACCTCATGAAGGATATGCGTCAGTCAACATTTCTGTGTGATGAAGGAGAATTTTGACCAAAAAAAACTAGACAATACCCACGCTAATGCTTGCTTTTTTACCCCAAAAGTGCTTGCTGCAAACCACGAGACCAATGGATCCTTTAAATGGTTTAAATCCTTGGTACCTTAACAAAGCTTTGCTCATTGTGCACTAGGAATTAATTATCCTCATTTTTATATAAATTGGGTGGGGGGGGGGGATTCGTGTTTTTCCAGAGGTTTGTTCTAATAAAGAAAAAAATATTAATAATTTTTTTTGGAGCAGTGCTTTATCTCTTGAGTTCACCAAATTTTAAATTTTGTAAAGCTGTAAAAAGCACAGATTCATTTTTTTATTTAAATCAAATGGCAATCAAATGATAATGATAATTGTCATTAGCCCTTTAGTTGACTTCGGGCTTCACAGAGGGAAGTATTAGCCCTTTAGTTGACTTCAGGCTTCACAGAGGGGAAGTATTAGCCCTTTAGTTGACTTCGGGCTTCACAGAGGGAAGGAAGAGCATCACAGTGGGAAAAAGTGGAAAGTGAGAACAGAAGAGCGATTCACAGATGTTAAAGGAAGAGAAAAAAGTAGGGTAAGGTGAGTGCTGCGGAATTGGTCGAATATGACATACAGTGGGATTGTGGTGTCAGGAGTCAACTGCCGGTTTATAGACTGTTTGCCTTATGAGTATACGTTGCCCGGGGTGCACCACGTGGAGGTAAGTCTATCACGCACCCCAAAAGGAAAGATGAAATTCCCTTTGAAGTGATTCAGATGGGATGATTTGCTAAAATTGAAAAATTGGGAATTTTGTTAGCCTAATAAATTAAGCGACTTTGAGAACTTCAAAAATGGCCTTGTTCAGGTTGCCAACCATTTAAATAACTGAAATTAGTATCGTAGAACGATTCCATAAATAAATGGAAAATCACTGTTATTAAAGTTTGTATCCACAATCTAGATCAGTTTCACATGAAATTTCCACAATGAACTTGTGATTACAATTTGGTTAAGCAGTTTGATTAGAAATAATGACAATTACAAAAAGGCTATCTTTATTTAAGGGGCAGCAATCGATGTTATTTATTCAAATCTTTCGATATCAAGAAGGTATTATTGTACCATTTAAATCTCAAAGCTGCTGTCGTTTCATACCTTCAGTATCGTCTCTTCGAGGTTTATAGATTTGAACTGAAACGTCAATGAACACACAGAATGCTCGTGGTAAATATGGCAGTCATTTCAGGAAAAGGGTGAAGTTATTGGTAACTAGAAAATGGAGTAGATTCAAAAGAAATTCAGCAGATAAGGAAAGCCAAACACATATCTGAACTGGGCATTCGTGAAAATTAGCTCACAAAAAGTTGGCGACTTTTGCTGCTGCACCCACAACCATCATGGCCTATCATTGGCCACCCTAGTTCGTCACCTGGGTAGAATGGGGGGTGGGGAGGGGTGTTCTAACCACTACGTACCCATGTAGGCAATTGAACTCAACCTAAGCTCCTCCCCCACCACAATTTGAGCAGGGGAGATGTGGGGGATGGGGATTTTGGGGGAAGAGATCATCACCTCACTCTCGATGTGGATGATTCATGTTCGAAAACCGTGGCAGTGTGTGCGAGGTTCAGTCTGCTTGACTCGAGGAGCCTCCTTTGGACTCTGAGCATGCCAAGCCACCAATGAATCTGCGTGTTGTCATTTGGATCTTGTCACAAGACCAACTCATCATAAAAGAAAGAGGTATTTTGTGTTTCAACTGGTTTTGCCATAGTCCCAATTATGGCACTAAGATGCTCCAGTTCTGTATTCGACAGCGGATTCCCTAGAAAAGCTCCTGTGTGAGCATAGTTAGATTAGGTTGTATGCCAAGTCTTTTTCGTCTATCTACAGCAGTCTAGTAGTCTCTATTTTGATTCACCAGTTCATGACGGATTGTTATCTCACAGTGTTAATGGAACATTGAGGAGTGACCGTAATCTCCTCATTTTTGGCGGTTGGAATGAACAATTATGGTGCTAGTTAGTCTAGTCCATCTTTCATAGGAGTCACAGTCATCAATTGTTCTCCTTGTCAACACCTATGCAAGCGAAGGATTATTTCACTTTTTTAAACACTTTGACATGGGAAAATGTTATTCTGAATTTTTTCCCGAACACCCAGTATTTCTTTCATTTAGCTTTATTTTAATCCCTTTTTAATAACAGAATCTAGTAGCTCTCAGAATTTCCTTTCCATTCTGATTCCCATACCTTTCCTGAAAAGCATGCGCCTTTTACGCTGGTGGCGTCTAACCCTCACTCAAAAATAATTTTTTCCAATAATTCTTTTTGTTTAATGAAAATATCTCCCCCGTAAAATTTTGTATTGAAGGCAATCGCATAGTTCAAAGTCCAGAGAAATAGGAACACCCGAGTTATTTCACGATTTACAACAAATTTATTTTTGTTTACAATAAACCTTGTGATTTAAATTAGTTAAAAAAAATTCAGCTTCGTCAAATACTTATTAAATTATATTCTTAGGTGAGGAAACCAACCTCAATTTTCTCATTATTTTTAAGCATCCGATGAATTAACTGCTAATTATGTATTCCGCTTTTCTTGATTGGACAGCCGTCTTTAATCCGATTGGATAATTATTTATCTAGCGTCCGGATTTTGATTAGTTTAAATATTTGTTAGGCGTTTTGTCCTTCATATTCACATGCGCTTTTTAATTAAACCTACATTAAATTAATTTATTTGTACATAACCAATTGATCACCAACAAATGTGTATGAAGTGCTCATCGGAGTAATTCAAGTCATTTATTTTGAAAACGGAATGCTTACAACTTATCCACTCATCAATAAGTCAATATTCAGAAGTAAGCATTTTAGCCAAATTTTAGCTTCATATTGAATAAAACAATAAACCAATTCCGGTATGTTAGAATTGATATATCTATGTGCATTTAACCCCCCCTCCCCTCCCCCACCCCAGAATGACGTCATAGCGCCTTTTTCATTAACTAACAGTTTGAGTTTTTTGAGGCTTAAGATTAACAGTTTTCTTATATTTTTATGAATATAGAATCATCGAAATTATTGTTGCATTGATGCTTCCTTGTAGCAGGAAGAGAATTTCCTAAAGTCTGTTGGAACGATTCCTTACCTTGGAATTTTCTTGAATGACTTGGCGATGCTGAATGAATCAGCTCCAGATAGGATTCCAAGACCAAAACGACCAGAACTTCGGAGACCATCTAGTGGAACTTGTATGGTTAACATAACTATTGATCACATGAATGGTAAACAGAATGGCCAAGTTCAAAGTACCCAGTTCCAGAGGAGACCGAGATCACACAGAAGTCATGAAATGCGTATTCCCACACCTCTAGTTACGCCAGAACCTCCTAAACGACCTCCCAGACTCAATCGAGCAACTGAAAGTACGGATAGTGGAAATGGAAGTGGAGTGAATGAACCAAGAGCTCGAAAACCACCTGTTCCTATCGTAATTGATCATCGATCCCGGAGGGAGGCGTCAAGGAATGTAATTTTTTCAGTTCAAAATACCTCTATGCATTTTTCAAATTAAATCAGTTAATACCTATAGCCTCTATTAGATAATATTGCGTTTGTTTTCTTTCATTATTAACCACAGCTGTCGTTCTTACTTTTGATGTTTGTTAAGATTAGTCATAATTGCTCTAATTAGACATTAGCTTTTGTCTGCCTCACTTTCACAACTTCGTTGGAAGTGGAAAGCCGCTATTCGTGACACCTAGTATTTGGGGGCCCACAACTTGTCCTCCCTTTTTTTAAGTCACAAACAATTCCAGTCAGTGCCACTTATATGGCAATTTTCCCAAATCGGATTCAGATCCACTTCAAGATGTTTTGATGGCTTGTGGTAATGTCCCTCTCACTGCTCCTTGCAATAAATGCTAGACCTTAAATCTATTCGGCCATAGTGAAAATAATTGGCCAAAAAGGTTGTTTCATGAAAATTTTATCTTTCATATTATTGCTCATAGCGAAATTAATTAAACTTCTTTTTCCAATTAAGGAAGGGGGAAGTTGAAGAGGGATAAGGAATGGTAAATTTATCCATGTTCCCAAGTCCCTAACTGTTAGTTCTTGCGAGTTCAGAGGTTACTGACACGCTGATGAAGTTGAAAGTTCCATTTGACGTTTAGACACTTCAACACAATCTAATTAACGGAGCTAACTGTTAAAAAACCCAATTTTTAAAGAGTAATGGTTCCAGCACAATAACACCATCATCCAGTGGCGTAAATCTCCCGAAAGATAAGAGAACTCGCCAAGCAAAAGGTCCTGATGGTCCGCCAATTCTTGTGCGACCCCTAAGTACCACGCCCTCTGCCTCCTCCTCCTCCTCGTCTCCACAATCCCTGAAGCGACCTTCATCAAGACACAGTCGGAAACCCCCTCTTGGCTTTTTCTCCTCAACCTTCGACACTACGGCTGCAGGCACCACGATTTTAGATTCGGGTGATCTGATCAACTTCCGTAAGCATACCCGGGAGTATAAGATCCTATCGAAGCTGATGCAACTTCAAGCCACTGCGACTAGGTATAAAATACAGGAGGATTCAGCGTTCAGGCAGTGGTTTGACGGAATTGTGCTGCTCAGTGAAAACGGAGCGTAAGAATTGAGTCTCCTCTATTGATTTATTGTTGGAGGGAATAGGGCCTAGTTCTTTTAATACTTTTTATCACAAAACGCAAGACATGCTATAGAGTGCCCAGGTTAGTAATTGGGCAGTAGTATATAATCGCATTAAATATTTAAAACTCTTGAAATAATCATTCCCATCGATTAATATGCCTCTATAAATGCACTGTGAAACCAGTGTTTCTCTATGGGCTACTACTAGGTGCATGAAAATGAGTTTGGGATATCTCAAATTTGGGATACAAGTGACAACCACTCTGATTCATAACAAAAGGCGAAAATGCTGACGGGTAGGGGATGTTTTCCTTCCCCCATTTAGTAGTCGTCGTAATTGGATTAGATTGTCAATCAATAATAAAATTGTTTATGTTTTCGAAATCACTTAATTGCTCTATTACCTAATTAAATAGTTATAATTTTGAATAATCAATGATTACCCTCCAATTTTCTTCCGTCTGCAAACCCTTAACAGCCAATATATCTGTTTTTTGCCTCACAGTGTTCTGGTAAAAGTGAATTTCTAGCAATGACACATTCTCGTTGGATTTGTTTTGAAGTTGTGAGTATGCGATTTCACTGCAACTGGATTCTACACGAAGAGGGGGGATTATATTTTGTGTCAAGTAGTCATATGTGTTCTATATCTAAAATTGGTTTTAAGGTAATAATTATTCCGAGTATTTCCCGAACTGCGTAGCGTGTCAGGATGCTATTTACACGTATAAATGCACTACTCTAGTGCCTTAGAGATGACCAATTTCTGCCTGGTAGTAAATATACTAATATCTGAGCAGTAAATTTTATCTTGCATATTCTTATTAGATGTGAATGTGGAGAGCAGTGTAAACCTTTTTTTCATAAAGTCGTGCTGTTTCTTCTTCTTGCATAGTATTTTTAGCCAATAGTTGCCTAAGGCCAAATTAACATAGTAAGTAGACGGGAAAGTTAAATTTTCCCTAGTCTGATATCTCTTTCTTCCATTTGGTGGGAAATAATGAAATGCAATCGATAATCGTTGTTTCTTTTCATGCCTTCGGTTTCCGTTCTCACAACCCCTAATCATGAAGGTCTTCTTTTGTGTGCGTGTGTGTATAGTTAGGGATGCATTGAGCATGATATTGTATTATGTTCTGAGTGTTCAATGTTTTCAACTATAACCCATGATACAATTTTCACTATAGTTGATAATATATGCAGCACTTCGAAGTCATAGACGCCACAGTATCATCTTGTGTGAAACGTCAACTGTTCAAGTAGACCAAATACGTACACTTGACGAATTAATTTGTCGCGTATTAAAGGGGGATAGGGGATTGTCGTGTGCTCAACTGGTGAGGTCCTGGATAAAACTGAGGACTGCAGGGGCCATCTCTCAGGCTGCATAAGCACCTCTCATCCCCCCTTTCCATTTCAGACTTGAATATTTGCCTAGTTTCTTACAGAATAGTTGATTCTCTTGATGATACGGATAGTTCGATAGCAATTACTTCTCTTCTCCTCCTCCTCCTCCTCCTCCTCCTCCTTATTTATTTATTTATTTCAGAAATCAAAAGGCAAAGATGGTGGAACCAATGTCAAGAAACTTCATGTGAGTATTGGCTCAATTTTTTATTTAATTAAAAAGGATTTTCAATTGGAAGCAGGTGTTGTGTGCGCGCGCGTGTGTGTGTGTGTGTGCGATTGTTTAAATCCTTCGCTAATGGAGAAAGAGAGCGAGAGAGTACGCACGTGCTGCTATGACGCTAAAATGAGTGCAGGCGCTAAGAGTTAGGAGAGGACAGCGATCACTTCATTTACCTATTTAATTAGTCATAGTAGTGCGTTCTAGGAAGTGAGCCACTTGTTCACATGTTCATGTTGTCGCGCGACACAATCGATCGTTTTAATTTGTTCTCTAATTAACTCTGTAGTGATGGTCTAGTACAGCGCTAATGTGAAGAGCCAATATTAAATTTGGCATTGAAATCGCTTATGAGTAATTTAAAGTCTGCATACGACTACTTAGCGTGGGCTGATAGCGCGATGGTTAACGTGCTCGTCTGCAAACTCAGAGGTCACAAGTTCGATGCCTAGTGGATGGAATGATCAACTACGCCAGTCTCTTACCGGGGAGTCTATGAAACATTGCCCGCTGGATAACATAGGATTAGCTTTATTCATTAAATCGAAACCTTCTTTAAACTAAATTATTTGAACATATTGGAGCTTATTGATGACATTTTTCAAACAAAACTGCCCAACACTTGACATGAGGGAATAAGAGCTAATGGCTCAAACAATCAGGAAAGACGACATAGTTTTTGTGATTGTGGAATAAAAAATTTCTCGTTGTTGTGTTTCGTCCTCCTTTTTCTATGGCACAATGTAGATCATACGAGTTGAAAGGCTTATGAAACCTTTGCTTACTTCATAAATGCAGGGACAATAATGAGACAATGGCATCGCTCGCATAATGCTCCATTTGGGAATTTGAAGAAGACATTTTTAGTAATAAGGATGCTTACAACTGGTTGATTCCTTCATAAGAGTGCTGACTGATTAAGTTTACTTAACTTTTAGGCTTGGTGGGCGTCATATATCTGGTTCATTGGAAGTTCTCTTCATGGGTAGTGGAGGTGATGAATTTTCGCGCAGTCGAGCCTCCTCACCCACCGGTGAACATCGCTTGCCTCCTTGTTCCTCAGCTGTAAGTGAACGTACACACAGGGTGCTCACCTTTCCATTTCTTTCTGTATATTGAGGGCCGGTCGTTATGAGATGAAAGTCCCCCCCTCCTCCCGCCTTCATTAAATTCTTAGTTTTAGTTCCACATCATTATCCATCTGCTTCGTCCTAAATAGTGTATCGTATCATGTCATGCTACTGAAAGATATGAATAACCCCAATAAGAAGTGCGTCTAACGCGATCTCGATAGTGGAAGAGACGAGAGCGGTGGAGAGGAAGAAAAATGTGAAAATTTGCACTATTTGCTTACTGTTAGCAGATATTCTGAAATGCGCCAAGTATGCATCAGATTAGCGATAATAATTATTGATATTGATTTCTTTAAGTCTACATGTAGAAAAGACAGGTAGGTCTATTGACAATGGTGTTGTTTCATTGTGAAAGCCCCAGCCGTCTTTTGTCACTTTGTCTAAGCATTATTTATCGTTGTCTGGTTCAAAGGATGACTTTGTTGTAACATAAAATTTCTTTTTTCCTAAGTCACTATCATTCCACTTGACTTTGCACAATGCATTCACATCAATTGCCGTTGTTCAATGCAATGTTTTTTGGAATTTGCATATCTGAAATTGACTGACATTTTTGTGAATTTAGATTGGTTCAAACATCTTTGGCAGGCGTTCATTCAATAGCCTGGAAAAACGAAAACCGCCTCTCAAAGAGTCCTTAAGAAGGCATACCGTTATTTTGAGTAAGTTCTCTATGAGTAACTACGTTGCTTCATACATTTTTTTACAAAATAAATACTTCTCGTTAAGTTTAGTGAGGAAGTAATAGCGTGGATAATGATCCCTTTTAAAGTTGTTTTAATGTGTTCCCTTCCATAGAATGTCATAGCAGATGTCATAGTGACTATCAAGGATCTCGTGGGTCGCCTTCACCATCTTGGCCACAACAACATCTGGCAGTATTCAAAAATAAGCTAAAGAACACTCTAAATCGGCCACGACCCCAGTCAGCTCAGCGCCCTCCCATATATTTCAATCATGAGGAGAAGATTTATACTCGATTTTAATTGAAACCCATACACCCTCCCACTTACCCCCGCGCCTACGTTTACAGAATTGTATTTTTGTAAAAAATTATGTGAATTGAGATTGATATTCACTGTACATCACAACTATATAGGCAATTCAGTTGATTTACTTTGTTGATTTACATAATTTTGTACATAAATAAACTATACAATTATGTTAAATCAAAATCTCTTGCAAATTTAATTTTTAAATCATAAAGAGAAAGAAGTTCTTAGTTGTAGGATCTTCTGTTTGAGAACGATAGTTTGCGCGATTAAAATACCAATTACAGAATGTCCGAGATAAATATGGCAGTCACTTCGGGAAAAGGGGAGAGTGATTGGTAGCTAAAAATGGAGTAGATTGAAAGGAAATTCAACAGACAAGCAAATTAAACTGGGAGTTCAAAGGCCAAACACACATTTGAACTGAGATATCCGCGAAATTTAGCTGACAACCATTTGTGACTTTTAACTGAGATGGGGCAAGTAACTGGCGAATTTTGCTGCTGCACCCACAACCATCTTGCACATGGATCAGTGTTGGTCACCCTCGTTCGTCACCTGGGTAGAATGGGGGGTGGGGAGGGGTGTTCTAACCACTACGTACCCATGTAGGCAATTGAACTCAACTCAAGACCCTCCCCCACCACAATTTGAGCAGGGGAGATGTGGGGGATGGGGATTTTGGGGGGAAAATATCATCACCTCACTCTCGATGTGGATGATTCACGTTCGAAAACCGTGGCAGTGTGTGTGAGATTCAGTCTGCTTGACTCGAGGAGCCTCCTTTGGACTCTGAGCATGCCAAGCCACCAATGAATCTGCGTGTTGTCATTTGGATCTTGTCCCAAGACAAACTCATCATAAAAGAATCAGCTATTTCGTGTTTCAACTTGTTTTCCCATAGTCCCAATTATGGCACTAAGATGCTCCAGTTCTGTATTCGACAGCGGATTCCCTAGAAAAGCTCCTGTGTGAGCATAGTTAGATTAGGTTGTATGCCAAGTCTTTTTCGTCTATCTACAGCAGTCTAGTAGTCTCTATTTTGATTCACCAGTTCATGACGGATTGTTATCTCACAGTGTTAATGGAACATTGAGGAGTGACCGTAATCTCCTCATTTTTGGCGGTTGGAATGAACAATTATGGTGCTAGTTAGTCTAGTCCATCTTTCATAGGAGTCACAGTCATCAATTGTTCTCCTTGTCAACACCTATGCAAGCGAAGGATTATTTCACTTTTATAAGCACGTTGAAATGGTAAAATGTTATTCTGAATTTTTTTCCAAACACCCAGTATTTCTTTCATTTAGCTTTATTTTAATCCCTTTTAATAACAGAATCTAGTAGCTCTCAGAATTTCCTTTCCATTCTGATTCCCATACCTTTCCTGAAAAGCAATCGCCTTCTACGCTGGTGGCGTCTAACCCTCATTCAAATATAATTTTTTCCAATAATTCTTTTTGTTTTATGTAAAAGAAGAAGGGATTTTGCTTTTGAAGGTTGCGTGAACATCTTTAATGCATCCATTTAGTGTATTTAAATATTGTTGTGGAAAAATTTATTTCACAAACATTAAAGATTGTAAGCTGAGGAAGGGCTAATATGATTCCGATAATAAGGTTAAAAAACTAATACACTTAAGCAAGATACATTTGACCAAAATAATTTATGATTAAAGTCTAAATTATTTGAAAATAAGTCAGTTAAAATATGAATCATTAAAAAATATGAAAATCTCTGTTTTCAAATTCATTTTTTCCATAGTATTCATTCATTTATTCATATCAAATGGCAGGCGTTTTGATAGTTATCATTACCCATTTAGTTGACTTCAGGCTTCACAGAGGAGGAATATCAAAGTGAAAAGTCGAGAGGGGGGAACATAAGAGTGTTTCAAAGATGTAAAAGAGACAGACATAAAGGTAGAAAGAAGGGGTAGTGAGTACAGTGGAAGTAGTCGAATATGACATGCAGTGGGATGGTGGTGTCAGAAGTCAACTGGTGTAGTCGAATATGACATACAGTGGGGTCAGAAGTCACTGCCATACAATGGGGTGATGGTAGTTTGAAGTCAGAAGTCAACTGGTGGTTAATAGACTTTTTTGTCGTATGAGTATACGTTGCCCAGGATGGACCATGTGGAGGTAAGTCTATTACACATCCCTTTATCCATAGTATAAATAAATGAAAGAAATATCGGTATAGATTACTACATATTTTCAGAAAAAGAATTACGAATTTTTCTAGCGATGGATTAGTATAAACACTGTTGGTAAAATTTGCTATTGATTTTAAATTAAATGGGTAAAAAACACAGACGCTCATACATTTGGTACGCATAACGCATAATTCTTTTTACAAGTAATGCAGCCTTTTGTGACTTTTGTGTCCGATATGTATCTACAAGATAAACTATATGTTTAAAATAGACCGATATACGGTCCTTCTACCAAATGAAATTATGAAATTGGCTGAAGTCTTGAATAACTAATTGAAATTATAGTATTTGATTATATTAAAACACTAAAGAAAATTCTGGAATAAAGAAATAGTAATTTTTCTCGCATGTTAAACTGTAATTTGATTTACGTAAGTTCTTAGTCGCCATTCTTTCTAATTTGTAAGTGAGTGTTTTCAAAATTATTATATTGGGTCCTATGTTAATATACTTTTGAGTATGGGGGTGTGCATCCTGGGAGACGCATACTCATAAGGCAAAAAAGTATATTAAGCGGCAGTTGACTTCTCACTTCAAACTACCATCACCATACTGTATGTCATATTCGACTACTTCCACAGTACTCACTACGCCTTCTTTCTACCTTTATGTCTGTCTCTTTTACATCTTTGAAACACTCTTATGCCCCCCCTCTCGATTTTTTTTCACTTTAATGTTCTTTCCCCTCTGTGAAGCCTAAAGTCAACTAAAGGGGTATTGATAACTATCAAAACGCCTGCCATTTGGTATGAATAAATAAGTCAAGGCTTCTGAATATTTGCATGCAGTCCATTTGCACTATTTGAAGTTCATCTGGTCAACCCCATTTCACTTTTGAAATTAAATATACATGAGTAAGTTATAAATAAATGAAAAATATATTGCCTAATGTTTAAAATTCAGATACAAGCTAAATTTAATCAAATATACTTGCGATATCTAGTAACAATAAAATTGAATATATGCTTATCGAAATCGTGTTTAATTTATATGATAAATAATATTAATAAGAAATAAACGAAGGGATTCTCTACATATGTGAATACTACATTATCTGTTCAAGTTAATAATGACGCATTTCGGATCATTTTTGTACGGAGTTATTTTAATGAAACATGGTGAAATTTTACATAAAATTAATAATTAATAAACAACTTACTTTTAAATAAGGCTTTAGTGAATAATTAAGTATTATAAATGTAAATATATAAAATGAAGAGCTTTATATAACCTTAAGTAATTTAAACACACTTACTGATTGAGCGCATCATATGTAAAATCGGCTAACCCGGATGAACTGGGGGTAGTCGGACCTTTCTGTTTGTAAGAAGGTGTACGAACAATTTTTTATTATTGCAATGAATTAAGCTTATTTATGATCATGAGCTATTTTGATAAATACATATATACTTTAGGTTTTTTTATTTTGCATTATTAGCAAAAATCTTAATTTTATTTCAATTTTTGATTAATGCTTAAAACGGTTTATTCAAATCCATATGCATTTATTTCATAATTTGTTTGATTTTTGAATTTTTACTTAGTCATATGACTTCCTCATTTTAATTTTAATTATCTTTTGAAATAAGCTTTTAACTATAGCTAGTCTGATTTTTAAACGGCAATTTTTAATACTGGACCTTCTTTTTGTAAGGAAACTACAGTTTTTCTGTGAACCGTAGTTTCTGTAATGTGCATTCAATTTCAATTGTCAAATAATTGAACAATGGCATCGTCAATTGCAAGACATACTTCAACTATATCGCTTATCTCGACTAATTCTCAACCAAGAGAAGGAAGCGTCCTCCTTCAAGCTCTTAATCGATACCGGGACCACATAGAGATTGCTTGTGATAAAATTCTCGAGAGATGTTGTGTTGAAAGCAAATCTGGTAAGCCCCAAATTTTCGAGCATTATTTACTAAAGACAAATTCTTTATCAGAATGGTATTTATTTACCTTTTCTTGTGAAATTGCGATTAATTATAATTAGGAGGCGTATTTTAGTATTTAATTTTTGGGTATAAAATTTTCGCTTTATTGTAAAAGTTTAAGGCATAGAAATTCTTTCCTTCATTTGGAGAGGTTTAAAAATATTTTAACTCCTTGCTACTCTACATTGCCTTAGTTCTCTGGTCCCTGTTTTAAATTTTGATCTTTTTACTCAACGTAATTAAGTATAGAGTGTGTGTGGCAATTGTAGCAGATTGGTCGAATAAGAAGACAGGGACAAGAAAAACCGATTCACGTGTGTGTTATCTTTAATTAAATGCAATTATTAAGCACTTGAGGCGATTGTGGTTAGTCATTTTCCAACACTAACGAGAAAATCGGCTAAATTTTCTGCACTGTACTTTATATTTTAGCTCCAAAATCGGTCTATCTAATTGATTAAAGTTTTGCAGACAGCAATGAATTATGAGAGTGAGTGGCTAAGCCATCAGTAACTTTGCTTTTCCCCTCTAAATAAAGTTATTTGAGCTGTTCCCACTTAATTTTCATTGATATAGCATGTGATTTCTCAATTTAATTTCATTATTTTACCGGGAAGCAACAAAAGTGTTCAGGGAACAAGTCATACATCATGGATGAAAATTTCTTTTGCAATGCTTCATGCTTTCTAGTGGATATTTTTTGTTGAGCGGTACATACCAAAGTAAGACGCTGCAAACAGGAATTTCTTCATTTGGATAAATTTTCCAATCCCCCAACAGTGAGGCTTCAGTAAGCAGAGTCGATTTGCTCACTGACCTTGAAATTTTTTTTATTATTATTCAATTTGCCCGCCATTTTTCCCCACGTTCATTTAGCATCCTGATTATACTTCATTGAATGTTTTAACCTCATCTGATCATCTGTTACTTCCAAGTAAAAGGCTTTCCTAATAGAAGATTTTAATTTGAGAGCTTCATTTTTCCGAGGCGAATGTTTGCGGACTTGGAAATTAAATCAGTAAAGATTGATTTTATTTTCTTAGCGGCGGAACTGAGTGTGGCCATCTTATGTGAAATCTGCAACGGAGCACTATTAAAGTTCATTTACATGTACATCGACTTTATACTATGGGTGGGGTCAGGAATCATCCTTTTTAATCCCCTAATTTATTCCTATGAATCTTAAATGCATTAACGTACTTTACTCTCTCTCTGATTTATCTTAGGATTTCCCATTCAGTTATCTGAACGTGGAATTTTGTCAATCACGTAGTTAGCTTTCCCTACTTGTGCTTCCGATTATTATTGCCTGGGCTAAACGCAACAACTCTCTCTTCTCTTTAACTTCTCATTTTTAAAATTTGTCATCCTTTCATCGTTTAATTTTCCGCTTGTTAGATGAGCAAGTTAGCCCTTAAATAGTGTCTGGATATTCTTCATTCAATAATGCCAAGTGCCAGTTTTTTTTGAGTGCCCTTGATTTCGCAGTTGTGTGGATTTATTTTTCTAGATTAACAACCACCACTTTTCTCCCTTTATTAAAACCCAACAGCCTATAGAAGGCATTTATCACTGTTCTCTCCTTATTTGCTTCCAGGCGCGGCATCAGGTGATCACTTGGAGGCAACAGCTCCTCGAATCCTGGACGAGAGAGCTCGTGAAGTGCTGGCCCATTATCTTATTGAACTCCTCTCCTCCTTGTTACTGCCTGAACCTCTCCCCCAGACCATTCGAGAGGTAGATACACGACTAGCCGAAGGGCAACTCTGCTTCCCCGACAAACTTATGCCCGCTAGAAGCGAGTTGGAAGAATTCCGTGTTTTGGCGGAGAAGGGCAAGAAATCCTTTGCCGCTTCGCTAGATCTCCCTGTAGAGAAGATATTTTCGGCTTTGAAGGTAATCTCACCCATTTCCTCATAATGTTATTGCTGTGATTTCAACATATGATTATTTCTTGTTGAAAGTCATTATAATGAGCAGGTCGATCATGTTTTATTAGTTCTGGGGTAAATGATTTCAAGGCAAGAAATCCACTTGGGATGAGTATTTTGCAAATCTTGGAGTTATCTCGTAGTGCTCAAGTCCATTTAGAAATTATTTCCTAATGTTTATTTCGCTGGGAAGAATACGTTTCCCAATGCGGGATGGCCATTCCGTCTCAATTAGTGTTGTATTCCGACGACGGGGACAGAACCTGTGCCCTCCTCTGCGTACTATCGCGTTAACCATTTACGCCATTCTCTCATTAATCTTATAATTTTTAAAGCCCTGCTCCTCCTCAAGACTAAAATTCAATAAGCACATTTGTGAGGGTATAAAAGACCACTCTCTCAATATTCTGCCCAAATGTGTTCGCCTGTTTATTTAATCCTAGGTTCAAAGTGAAATCGTTTTTATTCTGAACAGGAAGAAAAAAAAGTATCTGAAATTCATGCCGTTTGTCATGATGCGCTCTTCATCATTTGGCTAAAATTTGTTATCAGTTGGGGAGGGAGGGAGAGAGAGGATAGTTGTGAGCGCTGTGACTTGGCTGAATTATAGAACTTTATTGCGTTGAATTCTCGAATTGCATATATTAACGTCGGAGAATAGTGGTCTTAGCTTTGTACAAATTTTCAAGCTTACGAATGATTTCCTAAGATTCCGGTCATTTGTAGTACCATTCGCCGTTCTGCTATCATCCATTGCACTGGGGAAAAATAATTGTTTAGTTAGAATTATAATAATTTCAGGCAACAATCCCAGAATATTCATAAGGAAAGGAAATACGAACTGAAGGTTAGAACGTTGTGTAGCGATATCTAATTTCCTTGGGAAGAAATCTTGCTATCGCTAGGACAATATTCTACTTTGAATCCTTTCATGGTGTTTGAAAATAGTCGAGTAATCGGCGAAACGCGAGTTGGATGCGAGTATGTTATGAAGAAAGGGTGTTAATAGTCGGAAAGCACTGAGTTACACGCCTTTGCTTAAAAGAATTTATTGACATTTCGATATCGAAATTCCATTTTTCACAATTCGATTCCTGAGCATGGTTGTGAATACCATGTTACGATATCCTGATCTTTTTCAGTAAGTTTATTCAATTGAGTATCAAATAAGGCTGAACATATCGGAGCCCATTTGTGGTGCAAATTCTTGATCGAGTTTATTAGAAGGTCTGGATGGTGTTTGAGGGTCAAGAGGTTGCAATAAGGTGTAGTGGGAAATTCATGGGACTTATTGTGCATTGATGTGCAAGTCCGACAAAGTTGGAGGTCATTTGGAGCGCTTGCGTCGGCTAACATTCCAGTACTTTGGATGTGTCCAGCCATACTGATTATCCAAATCGCGGCTCATCAAGGGTCTCTTAACAATTTTCTCGATGGGCTTACGCATGAGTCATAGGAGGCGTCATATTGTGTTGTTTCCCTTATCGAGATGGTCGAAATTTATTATCTACTCTTTTTTACTGTTCTTAAAATATTTTCCTAGAGAGGTTAGGATTAAAGAGATTAGTTTGATTAATTTCAGTTTTGTTTTTTTGTTTGTTAATGCAAAAAAGCTGTTGCCATTGGGATCTATTTGAAGTTGGTTTTTTTTTTTCAATCCTCGCCTTCCCTTTCAATTGTATAATGCATTAGGTGCTTCTTTTTACTTAAATAGGTTTTTACTTAAATAGGCATACAGTTGGAATATTAAATTACTTGTTAATTAAACATTGAGGTGGGGGGGGGGGGGGGGGGGGGGGGGGGGGGGGGGA